TCACCAGATTACTTGTTCAATTTGAATGCAAGGAAGTTCAAGACAAAGTAACAAACTTCAGTATGCGAACATTGATTTGAGCTAAGAAATTAATGCAAAATGAGATAAGATAAAAAAGGTCAAAAAAACTGAATGTCCCAGTACTAACTGTCCGGTTTTCATCTCAAGCATATACACACAAAGAAACAAAAGAGCTCATTTGAAACTTCTTTATATGTTCAATATTGCTTACGGCATTGATTGTGGTCAAATGAGCCCTTTGAATGTGGATATGGGCGAAAAATCTCTGATTTCACATTTAACATGTTTTGTTGTATAATTAGAGATACCCAAGACACAATGTCATATTGTTTACCCTGACTGTGTTTGTTCTCATATGTTTGTTTTTTTTTTTTTTTTTTTTTTTGTTGCAAATAACATATGTGCGGCATCTGTTTGAGTGGTTTAGTATGAGTAAGTTTTTGTATGTTTGTGTGCAGTGTAAATAACGAAAATACCATAGAGAAGATTAGTTTTAGACGCCAATTACATAAAATAGTTTCACATTTTATTTTTGGCTTTTGTTTACTTGCGGCTTTTAAACAGAGACCAATGAGGTGAAAATTGAGACCGAACGACGTTCCTTTGCTTCGCTTCAGTTTTGACATGCATAATTTTTAATTGAATTATCGTTTTATATACACATATTCTCGAGACCAGAAGAAAACTTTTCTTGAAGCCATATACAATATACATAGAAACAACAACGTTATTCTAAAATGTTTACAATACGATTTTCAACACCTTTGCAAAACCAAAAATACCTCTTTCATATGATGAACCGCATTGTGAATGTGAGAGACGAACGTCATTCACTGAACGTGGAAGCAATGTCGATTTTTGCATAACAGAGAATGAATGGAAATATACCGATTCTAGATAAAGTAGTATACACTTAAAATGGTAATATGTGAGTCGAGGGCTTTCTATACAATCATCGTTTTCGGCTCAATTGATATTAAAATGAGGAAATCTAGATGCACGACTATCCTTTTACGACATTTTATACATGACTCCACAATATGATTTTCATAAACAAAATAGCTTTTTGGTTAAAAAAAAAACGTTGAATTTTTCACACTTCGGCAATGGTGCGTGTGTCAAAAGCTCATTCGTTAAACTCAAATAATATAACCATATGAAGTCAACGGTATAGAATGAAGTAAGCTTCTTTGAGTTAGTTTTCCTTCGTTCGGATTGATTGGGAATATTTTTCTTTCTTTCTTGTATTTTTGAAACGATCACAAAAAATCCAATCATATACATTCTTTGAAAAGAATTTCTTCCATATCACTTCTTAATCATGTCATATGCAATTGTAAGGGGCCAAGTTCATTATTTGAAAGCCAATTCAAACTTTGTTCCCATTCTATCGGGATCAATCGATTCGATATAGCTTACCTATAGCTTTTGACTAGACGAAAGCATGTTAAAAAACAAAATTCCATCTAGTGTCAAACTATCTTAATGAAGTAGATTCACTCGATAGACTGACCCATGTCAGAAGTTATATGGTTGAAGGTCTTCGGATATGTTAGAAAATTACCAATATTTACAAAATCGTTTAACTCAATAAGCCTTTCTAATGTTTATGTTTGGCAAAGCATCTTACCTTTACAGAACAGCATTTACAACGAAAACTAATTTACTTTGCTCTTGTTTATCCGGTCGTTTCTCGACGATTGATTTTAATGATAAATACTTGCTATTTTTTTGCGAAGTTGCATGAATTCGTGCATTCGTCGAAATTGCACGATTTTTTTTCATACCGTTGATGGCATGGACGTATTGTTCCGCTTTATTGATTTAAAGACAAACATTTAAGCTTAACTATGTTCACGAAAGACGAAATTCAATTAGTCTCTGTATATTTAAGTCCATCATCATTTCTCTGCTTGAAGTTTCAATGAAATCATAGAAATAATGAGTTTATTTTGACTGACAAATCTATTTTACTTTATTCATTCACATTTCCCTTTTCAAACTTTCGTTCATTTACGCGCCAAACTAAACGACCGTATTAATTGAATTTTAATGACTCACATTTTCGTCTCGCTCTCTCTCTCTCTCTTTCTCTCTATTTCTCTCTATTTCTTTTTCGGCAATTTTCGTTCAACCATTTCGATGCAAGCAAACAAATTTTGTGGAAATTTTAAATTTCATTTTACTTTGAAAACATATACTATGCACACCAAACTTTTAGTAAAACAAAAAATAACGTGTCCACAATAGAAGAAGGGTTGAATCTCCTTCCGTTTGACAGAAAATTATAAATTTCATTATTTTTTTTGGTTTCTGATAAGTTTTCAAAGAATATGACGAAGATTTAACGTGCTCTGATACAACTGTAAAAAAATGCTTGTGATTTAAAAAAAATGTAAATTCCCTTTTTCTATAAGTAAATAATTCCTTAATACAACATTTTGATTTAAAACTGTGGATTTATTTAAATTACGTTATTTTCACTCCTTTTTAATGCAAAAAAGTAGCATAAATACCCAATGTAAGTAAATGTTTTGATATTTTTTAACCAAACATTGCAAGTGGAGCACCTACAGTACCACACACCAAAATTCAACTGACATTCAGTGTAAATAGCAGCGCTGCCTTTTGTGTTAATCTAAATTAAATACAAACACACGCTATACACTGGATCTCATTTTAGATTCCGTGAGTGGTGCCTTGGGCGGGCGCAACATAAAAATAAATAGTGATTGACTGGAAAAAGTATTACAGATGTTTCCTACATTAACTGTGGTGTTTATATTTAGTGTTTTAATTTTATACTAAGAAAATGTAGTTCTACACCGTTCTACAGCAGCGTCAATGTTGCGTGGGATTGTTCAAACTAGTGTCAAATTCCATACATTAGTTCACTCATATGCAATGACGTACACAGAAATGGTAAAGTTTATGTTTTCAGTGTTGGCGCTGTTATTTACCAGTTCTGTTGGTAATTGCAGTACGTATTGGGCTTAACACAAATCATCGTATGCTATAGAACACAAAGTAGCTTTTCTTCATTTAAAATCAACGTCAATTCAATTTTTATTATTCAATGACTGAATTATTGCAGAAGATTTACATCTGTTTTAACTCCCATAGAAATCAGATTGAGATTCAGGCCAATTTTTGATTTCGGCTTAATGATATATAAATTTTGTGTGGAAATTCAAATATATCGTACATTTATGGTACAGTTTTATATTCATATTTATTCAGTATATTAAATGGATTAATATTAAATAGCATATTCTGAATCAGGATTTCTGATATTGGATTTATATTAAAGGTATGTTTACTTTATTATTTTCTCAATTATGGTATGAAATGGATTTCATCCACATCAATGTTTGACTCAATTTCATGAGAGATTGCAAGCTATTCGACGTATCTTTTATGCGACACAGCACAGTGTCGCGTTCTCATATTGCGTTCTGTGTGACAAAAGTTCGTTATTCACACAAATTCGTTTGAATCAAAACATTTCGATGATTTGCAACTAAATCAAAAGCACCCAAAAGTAATTGTAAAACTCATTATAAAGTGAAATAACTTCCATTTCTATTCTTTGATATCTATATGATGATATCAAATCGGATTGATGTGCAAAAATCTGCATGAAGTGAACTGATTAAAGGCAGGGACCGGATGGCGTATAATTTTATACTAGCATAAAAAACGCAGGCATTATAAATATACAAAGTATAAACGCAGACGCAACATATCCATCGCTCTTCGCTATGTATGGAGCATGTTCGTGTGTGCATGTGACCGTGTATTGGGAGATACACGCACATACATTGTATTTATTGAGCGCAGCACAAAGCGAACAGCGACGGATATGTTGCGTCTGCGTTTATACAAAGTATTAATATCTTGTATAATTCTATATGCGACCCGGTCCCTGATTAAAGAGAATCGATGCAAAGTAGAATGCTAAAGTCTAGCATTCAAAATTATCGGCCCGTCCAAGTTTCTACAACACCTGAATGTGCATGAACTTGAATGAATGAATCGAATATATATTTTATGTAGATAAGGGGTACAAAATGAGTTGCATCTACTCAGCTGTTGAACTTTATATACTTTAATCACTCCTTTAATCAAGATGGATGATTTTACCAAACCATTAATTAACAATCAAAGATTATTGAGAGTACTTGGACCGATACCCACGTGAGAAAAACCCCCATATACAACAAGTATAAGGTTAAGCGTTCAGTTAAGCAAAAAATCGAAATACAGCAGTAATAATGGAAATGGCAACAAGAACAACAACAACCATAACAACTGATTATGGGGTCATACGTTCATAGAGAAAGTGCAAAAACCGATGATTACAATGATATTTGGGACGAATACGTCATTAACATTTCCAATCGATACAAACCATTTTCAATTAGACGTTACGATACACAATATTTGCATGAACTTCAACTTTTTATGGTACAGCGAATATATTTCATTGGAATTTACATGATTACAAATGGACTTCTCTGAATCATACTGTTTTAACATAAATTCGTATATACAGAAGCATGAATCAATTTTTCATTACTCAAATTTACATTTTTTCTTAATTTGAAAGTAAAATAACACAATCAATTGGAACATCCTTTGCATTTTTCTACTTCATGTATCGTATCAAACCATCAAGATCTGTATAAAATATTTATATCGAAAAATAATTCATCTGTAATGCATATTATTATTCACGTCGAGGGAATCGTTTATTTTTTCCACACACTAAAATCATGTTTTATTTGTGATCAATTTAAATGTTTAATAAATTTATTCAAATTTTTCATTTTTATACTTTTTTTGTACTTTCTTGATTGAAACCTATCAAATGAATTCTGAAAGTTTGACAACGTTTCAAAAGCTGTTCAACAGATGTCGCTATGTGTTCATAGTACAAGAGTCTAATACAGCGAAATGTCAAAGCCAATCTGACAAATGACACATGAATACGCGCGATACTCCGCTGCATGTAAACAAAACTTGATTAAAATCAATGTTATTGTGTAGTTTTCGTTGATTTGATGGGAAAAAAATCGGTATAAAACAATGGCTGTTGATGGAAAACTACAGCAGGTTCGTCAACATTTCGAGCGAAAAGGCATTCGACTTGATTCCGATTGGCTGAATGGGTGAGAGATTAGAATTAAGATTGTTTTTTTTTCTTGCACCAATCACACTCATTCAAATGGAATTTTATTTTCGGTGTTGATGTTGTTCATCGTTTAGTTGCGTGGAATTTTTCATCGATGAAAATCCATCGATATCGATAAATCAACTATGCCAACAAGCCGAAGAGCAATGGGAATTATCCGATTTGAGTGATAGTGGCATCAAATGTTTACCTGATTCGATTTTTGCCAGAAAAGACATTCAAACCATAAATGGCACATTTCCATTACAAATTCAATTTTTACTTGACATCAGCGAATCACCATACGATCAATTGCAACGATTACAAAACAAAGAAACAGAAGTAGCCAACGAGCAACCGGAATTTAATCAAACAAAGAAAATCGAAAAGGGTAAAAAGTAAGTGGAACGATTTAATTTAATGGTTTGATTTTGATCATTTCAAATTTTCTTTCCAAACCAGGAAGCGAATGTTAAAACTCGATCTTAGCGATGGATTTCGAACTGTGTCAGCATTGGAATACACACCGATTCCATGTCTTAATGCTCAATTGGCGCCCGGTCTAAAAGTGATTGTGACCGGTCCGTTGCGTTGTGTAAATCATATTCTATTTCTCGAAGCGAAAAATATTCGTATTCTGGGTGGCGAAGTAACCACATTAGCCATTGAAAATGCATATGAAAATGTATTGAGAAAACAATTAAGTCTAGCAATCAATCCGAATCCAATCAATGATTATCAAGGTATCTCTCTCTTTCTCTCTCTAATCTCAAGTAAAGTTTCGATTGAAACTAATACAAACCTTTTTCTTTATACAAACAGAACCAGCAGCCGATGTGACGACGATGATGACCATCCGTACAGATAATATTCCATCGATACCGATGACAGCAACCAACACAGCTACACAACCTTCATCCACTAGAAATCACAATACCTTTGACGATTTTCTCGATGATGATGTTGATTTACTTACCGATATTGACGTTGATCTAATTACAGCAAATGTAGTAACAACACCCACAAAATCATCGACAACCATACAAAATCAAAATGATATTCCATTGCATCGACAAAGTACACTGTTATTCGATGATGATGATGTTTTTTCTAACATTGATCCAGCCATTGACCAACTGAATATTTCCACCACACCACCACCACCACCATCTCCACAACCAGAAACATCAATACAAAATTCAGAAGTTGAATTCTCCGTACCTCAACTACCAGCCGATGAACCAGAAATCCATGCCGATAATTATCGTTTTAAAATTCGCGGTTTGAACTTGGTTACAATTAAGCAAATAAGTGAATGTTCAGCGGAAAATCGAAAACGTCGAAAGTACTTCATAGTTAAGGCTCGTATTGAGAAAATTGTTAAACAGGCGCGTGTTGCACAAATGCGCTGGAAATTGGGCGTTTTACTTGCAGATCTATTGTCAGATAATGTCACATTGAGTGTATCGTTTAGTAATGATGTTTTGGAAAAATTGGCTGACATTAGTGGCCGTGAATTACATCAAATGTACACAATGCGCAATGAACGGCCACAATTTCAAACTGAACTCGATGCCATTCTGAAATCGTTGGGTGAAAAACTAGAAGAAATGTACACATTCATGAAAATCGATTTTGATGTGAGTGGCAGTGATCTTCCAGTCGTTGTTGAACTTATCAATGCAGCTCCTGTGTTAAATCGTAAACTACAAGATAAAATTGAATACGAACGATTACAATAATAAAAAACAAATACATCAAAACAAAAAGTACACCGTGTTTGATAATTATTTCTTTATTTATTTACAGTCTTAAATCGTAAGAGAAAAAAAAATGAGAGCAACGTCGTAATTTGACAGTTATAAGATTTGATGAGTACATTTTTTTAATGTCATATTCAATAGCATGTCCAAACTTATATCTACTATGACAGATGCTTTTAATTAAAAAAATCAACAACAATGTAATTGAGTCTAGTACTATTTTCATCTTGAATTTACAGTCTAAAAATGCTTTTCTTTTCAGTAAAAATAAACAAAGTTGTGCCTAATTGAGCTCCAAATGCTGTTTTTAGTAAAGTGTAAATCTAGCTTTTTATTTTAATATTATTATCATATCGAGCAACAACAAAAATGAAGTTAGGTGCTTTAGTAATATAATTTAATCTTGTGTGTGTTTTTTTTTTATTTATTTAAATGCTTTCTTATGTAATGCGTTTTCGTGTCATATGGCTGCTAGCTAAAAACACATTTCAGCAAATACACAACGATACATTTGTATTTTTTTTGTTCGAAAGTGAATTGTTTTTATTTTGTTTTGTGTATGTAAGTGAAACCACGTGTAGCAATGATTTTTTGAAATGGCTTTAATATCCATTGAAAACTCAAAATGTGTGATTGTCAACATGTATACCCATTTAATTGAAAGCGGAGTATTTTCCGGCCTTTATTCTGTCATTCAAACGTTGTTGAAAAGAAAGCACGGAACTTTTCATGCATGGAATACAGCACATTTATATGATGCTAATTTATCGATTTTAATAATAATTAAAAAAAAACATGTTGTCAATAAAACAAATCATTGCGGCAACGTTTTTGTTGGGTTCAAATATAATCTCAATGTGTGATTAAAATATTCAATAAAAATCAGATCAATTAAATGGCAAACGTAAAACAAAAACCAATGCGTAGGAAATATGCCAAATTAAAATGAGAACGTTTCGACCGAAAAAAAAACAACAACAATATTTCAATGAAGTATCAAAATGCAATGGGTTTGCGATGAAATTGGTGAAAATGGATAAAAAAGTTTCACCCCACATGATTGAAATGTATATTGGTTTTTGTCGCTCATCGATTTGGGGTTTAAATGTTCGTTTTTTTTGTCAATGATGAATAATTGAGATGATCGATTGAATGATTGGTTAGTCCGTTTATAACATTTATTGATCATGTTTTAATTGAGTTCCGTTTTTCATTCGTTTACATAAATATTTTCATTAATTTTCTTCTTGCGATACATATGATTTTGCGTGTAATTTTAAAAGGTTAAGCCATTTACCGATACGTTAAAATATTTGAGTAAAAAGGATAGATATCTAACATTTATAGAATCAATTGTTGTAAATGATTTCTTTTATTTTATTACATTTAGTTTTACAGATGCAAATTCGTAGTATTTTTGGTTGATGTGTGAATGTGGAACGTTATTCCACACTGCGGAAGAAGTCATTGTGCATATTCTTATCATGTGCTATGAATTTTCGGTATTATTGATTATGGTTTTCTTTTTTTATGGCCTTAAATTATGCATACTAATATCTGTGTATTTTTTTATTACTCTTTTTTGTTTGTATCGACGTCAATGACAGGGGCTTTGCTTAAATTTTATAATTTAACGAATTTGAACTACGCAGCTTGGACATTATTTTTGTTTATGTGTGAATTTTAAGCATTTTTTTTCATTGATTTTTTTTATATATATATTTATATACATAATTGCGCGCGATTAAGGCAGACATCCAAAAATAGTAGTTGGTAATAAAGGTTGTGTCAATGTATAAAAAGTGAAAATTACCAACTAATTACCCAAAAAAAATCATGTTTTTTTTATACACAAAACATAGATTTTACATAAATAAAATGAAAAATGTTAACTTTTCAATGTAAAAAAAATCTCTGTAGGCAGATCTGTGCTGGGTTATGTCTTAAACGATGCACGAAAGTGTAACGATATCATTAAAAAGTATCAATTTTTCTGCAAATTGACAATTTTTTTTTTGTTGTTGCTGCAAAACATGTATATTTCATTTTTTAAGAGTATCTCTTTACAAGCATTTATCAATTTTAGTAAATATATGCACGTTTACTTCATATACAGAAAAATTCGATATAATTCAATTGTTTTGAAATTCAAACATTGAATAAAGCAATCTACATTGGAGACTGGATATTTAATTTAGTGTCTCCATCGGCGGATGTTTTTTTTTTTTTAATTTTTTTTTTTAAATCATTTATTCGTCATCGCTTGCAATAATTTGTTCATTATTATGTAAAACAATATAAATATTTGGTTTGCGTTTGAAATTCTCTATATTTAATTTCAATCTTAGTAAAATGTTGATGTATTTTTGTGCCTCATCCGAATCGGCACCATCTTCATGCTAGACATATGCTTGTCCACGTGTTCGCACAAGATTTGCTGTGCCTGTTTTTGAATTGCCGGCAGTTGTTCCATTGCCGACATTGCCCAATGTAATACCATTAGCCAAATTGGCTCCACCATTAACACCTAAACCAACATTAGCGGTACCAGTGCCTTGCAAACGTTCAATGAACCGCCGCCAACTGACCACTGTTTTACCCGAATACAACCAAACGGATGATGTGACACCGACCAGCATTGAACACACATATTTGATCATAAATACAACAAATAATGGTCGAGATTCATTCTCTTGATACCGACTATTGAATGGACATGGTATCGAAAATTTGGTACACATATCCTGATTCCATTGTAGCATCCACGCATCAAAATTGTAATATTCGTAAAATAGACAACCCAGAAATCCAATTGCTGGTAAAATGAATAAACCGCTGAAGAAACCGATGCGTATCATTAAACGTTCGAGTTTATCGGTGCGTTTTCCATCGCCTTTCATTACCGTTCGAATGTGAAACAATGATGTGAAACCGGCCATCAAAAATATTGCACCCAATATCAAGTAAATGCAGAGCGGCAACAACAAAAATACACCCAACGAATATGAATCCAATTGGCCAACAAAACATACGCCCGACAGCACATCACCTAGATCAAGAAAAACGATAGCACAAAGATATTTTTTTATTAGTAAATTCAATTGTTGTTTTTTAATAAGGGTATTTTTTATATTTTGTCAAAAGTTCAATAGTTTTGGATGATATACACTCTCTAATTTGAACTAAAGTTTTTTTTTCTTCTCAATCCCTCAACAATCAAGACAAAATCGTGCAGCAATGCGATTTAAGATTTCATCACAGTTAAAGCCGATGAAGTTCATGAAACACATGTAAATAGATCAAATAAATTTCCATAAAGAGAACGCAATACAAAAATGGCTTAGCTAACGGCTAGCTGTCATTCAATTCGTCGTCGATAAGTACATGTGTTGGGATTGAAAATGGCCATTTCGGTATGTAACACTCAACATTTTCTATATCCATCTATCTCAACGATGAAACGGTAAAATTATGAATAATATTTCTACTATGTATGGCATATTGTTGATCTTCATTTCTGTAACGGGTCCAATGTTTTTAAATCAAGTCATTCAACATCATATTTGGTTATTTCTGGTTTGAAATCCCAATGAATCCACGTTTTCATTCATTCACTCACGTCTGTTGAATATGCTATTTTACCTGTAGAGTGTGACGCACTTGTCTACATACGTTTCATGAAATGTCATGTCAATTGTTTGGAAAAAAAAATGACAACGCACTTTTCTACCAATCAAATACTGATGTGGAATATGATGGTTTGTCTGTGAGTCGTGACTTCGTATTCATAAAGTCCATAATAAATTCATGAAAAAAAAAATAAAAAAAAGTTTATAATGTATTTATGCTTATTTGATGCGTCGCATCACATCAGATTTTCCAATCTTGATGCATTGCATGAATGATGTTGCGCGAACCGTATTGACATTTAAGCATTCATAAATTTATTACAACTATTTCACAAGGTATGATGCGATGGTTGTTGTTTGTTTTTTTCGCCCATTGTTCATTTACTGTTGGTCGACCAATTGTACCAATCGATGTTATTTACATGAACAAAATACATTGTCGATAGAAGTAGCTAGCAAAAACACGGAACTTGTGGATGAACATGGCTAAAATTGAAAAATTGAAGATGAATGCGGCATGTTGCGATTGCCAATCTCGACAACGATACAGTTATTTAATCACATTATCACCACGATGCTGTACAATCATTCATAGCAAAAAAAGCGATATACACAAAAACGAGAGAAAATATTTATCGAACGTGTGTGATGTTCATTCCATTCGAAATTCCACGTTTAGAGAAATGGAAATAGAAATTGAGAGAGAGAGAGCAAGAAAGGGAGAGATAGAGAGAAAAATTCAATCAATATCAAACAATGTGAACAAATCGATTGTTGGCTCTCGATTGTTCGCACCGATGAATGTCCGTTATATGTTTTTGCTTTGTTGTGAGATTGTTTCTATTTTTTTGTATTCTAGCGTATTGCCCGAAGGGAAAAAAACACCAAATGGAACACACCAACAAAACGTGTGATGCTTATATGGTGATGATAGACAATAAGACAATTAAAGATGAAGCCACAAGTGTATTATGTGTTGAGAGAGAGAGAGAGCGAAAGAAAATATCGAAATTAAAACAAAAAACTCGGCCCGTTGAATGGAAATCATCCCCTGAAATAGATTGGCACTTTTTGCTCACCGCTCGCTCTTCTCATCAATTTCTAAATCGAAAATACAATCGCACATATGATGACAAACAGAAAAAAAAATTCATTAAAAAACCCATTTTATAGAGCAAACAGAAAAAAAATTACAATCGTAGCCGTGGTGTTGATTTTCAACATGCATTCCAATTTTGCGTTTGCAAACACATAATATGTTGTTTGTAACAATTTTTTAAACTTCCTTTTTTTTCGTTTGCATCCAGCAAAATGTGCATCAACACCACCAACAAACATAAAAATAAATGACCATAAATTTTCAAATCATGTATGCCATTTTTCAGTGTTTGTGTGGATGTTTTTTTTCTTCTTCTTCTTCACTATTCAGCGGTAACATTGTCCACTTAAATCGAATTGAGTGTCGACCATGAACGAGCTATGTATTGTAATTCACTTTGGACTGAAATTTGTGAATTCGATGCAAGAAAAAAAAGGCATTTTATTTCACAAAATACAACAACTGTGATTCATTTTGATCGTGTATAATCTATTTTGTTCACCTAGCGCCGTTCAATGTGGGTTGTTTTATCTGCACTTTATTCCTTTATATCTTTAGTGTTTCTGATTTTTATGAAAATTTATGATTTCAATTAACACAAACAGACAATAATATACTACTAACGATCGCATTCGACATTTTTTTTTCTTCATTTGAATTTGTGCATCGCCGATATGGTAAAATACAATTGAAGAAACTCCAACGATAGGCATCAAGGTTACTACGACCAACCGACCGATAATTGCCTATAAATTTTGAACGACAACCAAACACAATCGTATTAACTTTGGGTGGGCATCGCTTTAAAATCGGTCAACCGAGCGCTTTCGCATCATTGTTAAGCGAATGTTAAAGAAACCTTTATACTCTGTTTTTTTTCTCCACATGCTTTGAAAAGCAATTTAAATGACACACTAAAACATGATTCGTATCAAAGTGACAGTTTCAATTCGATTTTATATATTTTACTTTAGGCCAGGTCGCCCGGTTTTTAGTAGCAAAGCTCGGCCAAAAAATCATTTGGCCCGATCCGAATCACTGTGAAAACATTCTGGCAGGCTTGTATTTTAATTTCCGATTGTGGCTTGTTTTTTTTTATTGCGTGCGTTGTTTCACCGAAAAACTGAAACTTGTGCTGAATGGAATCAATTTTCTTTGCTTTTTTTTTGTATTTGATGTAGCGCATTTCTTAGTTGTATACAATACCTTCAGGTAATATTGCATTTTCAATCTATTTATTTACATATAATTTCAACAAAAACCGGAAATGATATCCTGTCAAATTTCAGGATAGTAAAATGTAATTTTGTAAACTAGATTTCATTGCAAACCATATAACTAATATAATTAAAGGAATCTTCGCTTGCTCGAAACAATGTTGCTTTTTTTGCATTTGGCAACATTTCGTCACAAATATCTCACAACCATATGGAAGAAACCGAATCTCAACAATGCAAAAACTCGCATGTATTTGTACACGTCTGTTTATGTGACAAACGACAAAGTACTGTACAACGCAAAAACCAATGAGTAGTGTCTCGCTTGTTTTGAGGGTTTTGGTTTCGAAAATTTGTGCATTAATTGCAAACTGTTTGAAAGCGCTTGAGAATGGTAAAGTTTGTGGCTCATCCATGTGTGTGTGTATGTGTTTTGTCATATGCGGGTGTAGAATGTTGTAGATCGTGACTTTCTGTAGTAATTTGCTGGATTTATTGCAAATGGGGTGCAACACACAAAATGTGCACACATTAATACACACTGACGAATCATGATAAGCAGATGGAAAAGATGAATTTGGAATAGATATGCATTTATATGTAGGTATTGTCTCACAGAAATTCGATTTCCATATTCAAACATATTCTGTATTCCAATTTTAATTAATTTTCCATTTTTTGGCTGCTTACTTTGAATTTTAAACGGAAACGAGCACAAAGTAACAATAAAAGACACCATCGTAAATGAGATCTACACGATTACTTGTTGACACAGACGACAAATTTCCTGTTTCATGTCAAACTTTCATCTGGTTTTTTAATTATACGAAGAGCAAATTCCAAGCATTCTGTTGAATCTACATGCTTCTAATATAAATTACAAAAAAAAACATTTTTGAAATTAAATTCCATACGAAAAACAAAACGGTTCAGTAAATAATTTCGTTGCATATGCAACTAAGAAATACAAAATTACTATACGGTGAAATATCGAATTCATATTTTTTTTTTAGATATAGCGAGAGTTTCTGTAGTATAGAAGGACTCTCGAATTATACATTCTTTTTAACCAGTGTTTTTGATAAATTGACAATTCTTATTATGTTAAAAAAGGTACATTTCGAATTAGGATTCCAACACAGCGGATTATTCAAAAAATAAAAACTTTTGGAAATGTTTGTCACAAAATTGAAATATCACAAATGTTATGTTTCGAATTTTAGTTTCGTCACTCGTTCTTCGCCTCGATAGAAGTTTTCTTTATTTGATATTGAAATTATAGTGAAATTACATGAGAAAACACTTAGCTTTCATTTTGATAACATTTTCGTTTCTGGTTGTTAAAATTGTATACTGTAAAATAATTTGCAACAGAGTGAATGTTTTTGGCGTTGAATAAATAAAAATATATGAACATTATTTTAGAATTCATCGTTTTATCCTTTCAAAAACAAGACGACAAACTGATCATTACAAATTGTACAGTAAGTACAATAAATGCGGGAGGATTTTTGCATTTGTATATATATAAGACATAACAGACCATTTCTGGTTTTCGTTTTAAGTTTGGTAAGAGAAAGAGTACGCGATCGATAAATGATGGGAGGAGAGAGTGAGAAAAAGCATAGAACACTGGAACAGAAGTGCAGTAAGCAAATCAACATGATCCAGAGTTGCAAGCTCGAATAGTATCAGAGTCAGCAACATCATTTGCATATAAATTCGCGTGCGCGGATATACATGAATATGAAATTGTGTGTGACCGAGAATAAGAGCTAAATGGAGCACCAGCATTCCGTAAGGCATTCAAAAAGAGACCATCGAAACGTAAATACAAGCGATAACAAATGAAGTCATGCATAGTGTGAAAGCACCATCTCCCATTTTCCATTATATCTGTGTTTTCGGGATACTACTAACCCCATGTCTTTTATCCGGTAAATGATACATACACATGACTTATACATAAACTTTTTCACCATCTCTCGCATTCATTCTCTTTGTATATTTTTCATCCTTTCTGGCAAATTCTTTTCCTTTCTCTTTCATTATCTACATTCGCATATACATATGAAGTCACTTTTGTCTGTATTTACGTCTATCT